GGAACCGATCAGGGCAGTCATCTCTCGCGAATTAATGGATTGGGCTTCCTGGTTCAACGACAGCGAGGTTTGGATTGGACCATCTGACCGACAGTCCGGGCTATCAGGCATCTTCCGTCACGAGGGGGACTGCAGGAAAAGAGGGAAATGGATCAAAACGACGGGCTGTATTTCCCCTTGTATACTTGGTTCACAAACTCCCAAAGGTCCTCTCATCGCCTCCCCCTCCCCCCTTCTCTCTCTACCCCCAACCTACTACCCTCTTCCCTCTTCCTAGCCCCTCGAGCTCCTTGTCCCCTAGCCCGGATCTTGGTGGTCTTTCTTGCTTCTTTCTACATTTAGGGATGGGTAAATTCATCACACGCAGGCAGGAATACTTCGATAGGACAGTTTGGCGATTGGAGTGCACTTTAAATCGATGGTCAATTTTTTTCGCGCTGAAGTGCTTGGTGACCCTATTCTCTATTCGGTTCATTTTGCGATGATTGGACGGGCGTACAGACACACTGACGATGAGCACCGGCCAGTCCAGGAACCTTGCTTCGTCCATCGCACCACAGACTCGGTGTTTACACCACCTATCGGCCCGGCGAGTCATTCCTGCGTGCAAGTTCCTCTCTCGGCCCCGAGTACGCCGTCCAAAGGCCCTGATGGTGCCTGCGGGAGAGGGAGAGGGAGAGATGACAGCATTACCGCCACCACGTTGAGGCAGACAAACACAACGCGATGGGCAAGAGATGGTGAGCAGTAAGTTTTGCGACATGGACGGCATTGTTGTTCCATCTGCCCAGCGGTCTTGACGCCGCCACACAACCGCTTTCTTTGTTCCGCTACGCCTATCTTGCAATCTTGCCCAGGAGACGACTCACAGAGGCGCAACGACCACTAGAACCCCCTTGGTCCCCTCAATCTTTGGGCGGAGGGGTGGTAGGCGTATTGCATAAGGGGAATAACGTCGCACCTCGGGCGCCTCTGCCACCATCAATGCGAGACAGATGTGGTCAGACTAGTGCCGTTTACTAACGGGTTCAAACGCCCCGCGGGGGAGACCCGGGCTTTTTCCTCTTCTCTTTGAATCTCGCTCCTGCCTCCCCCGCATTTGGACTTCATCCTCTCGCTGCCTTTGGTGTTGCATACTATGTCGGGAGCCGGTTACGAACGCCACGAGGAAGTCCATGGGGCCCCCGGGGACAAGGGTGGAGATGTCGATGGTCAAGACATGCAAGGCTCTGCTCTCTGATGGTAAAGGGGGGTTAGTATTGGCCAACCGATGATGCTCACTTGGGTTATTTTGGCGCCTAGGCACGTCAGCCACCCCTCAATCGGCAGGTTGTTGACGAATTCTGAGAGTATCGAGTGCGGCTGGGTTTGGATGGGATTGGCGATTCTTATGGATATATGCACCTTCTGTTGATCATTACATATAGGCTGTTTTAAGACCTTATCGGGGAGCGGGAGGAAATCGGATGCTGCTTACCTGCATATCCGGCCCCGCAGTCCCTTCGCCGGCGGCCACGCTACCCCTCCATCCTCCGCTGGGGCCATTCGACCCAAGGAGCAGAGGGCCGAAGATAGGCTAATGCATTGGTTGACGGTTTATTGCCCCCCTCGGATATGGAGGTCGATTGACTGGTCAGAACGGATAGCTTGCCTATTTCGAACCCGATGTTCTCCGCATTTTCCGGGAGCCTAGAAGCTCCGGCCAGGAGCTTGACACCGCAACGACGGACGACGGTGGATGCATTGGCCAATTGGGCCACGGCCAGCGGGTATCTTTCCCCTCGGGGGAGCTTCGACTGGAGACTAGGTAGCGCCCTTCTCGGCAACGAAGGAGGTGGGCGAATCGGCCATATCTATGAAAGTGGCAGACTGAGGCCATCTTCCACATGGAGGCCGGGCCGGTTGCGGTGCACTGAGCCGGTCCCGCCGAATCGGCTGGTCTTTTTAAGTTGTCATGCACTTCTCCCGATAGACTTGAAACCAGGCATTTTATTTTTTCTCAGCTGTCTTTTCGTTGTCTGAACCTCGACCTCTCAACCCATCTGCCTCAACTTTACCGATAACAGACGCAACAACAACTCATTCACTATACGAGAAAGACACGGACCATGAAGTTGACTTCTCTGCTACTGGGCTGCTCGTCGGCTCTGCTAGCTTCTGCTTGCGGCAACCACGGTGACGACAAGGAATGGACCAAGGCTGAGCTGGATGAGTTGGAGGCCAAATGGGGCTTTGAGGTGAGTCCGAATTTCTGACATTATGAGCAGGCATCATGACTGACTCTTCTGGCAGTGGGGTTCGTAATCACCATCGATGGCATGAAATACTAAACTCACAAGTATAGGCTTCACGGGCATCGGCACGTTTGCTCATCTCAAGCACGCAAAGTGCTTGACCACGCCCCAAGAACTCTACGACATCGCCATCATCGGCGCCCCTTTCGACACGGCCGTGAGCTACAGGCCAGGTATCAACGTCTCTGCATCGCTTGTGAGAACCCATCAGCTGAAACATGACCCTCAGGCGCCCGCTTCGGTCCCCGCGCGATTCGCCAGGCATCCAGCAGACAGACGTCCTTCCGTGGCTTCAACCCCCGTGCCAACATCAACCCGTACGCCAACTGGGCCACCATTATCGACTGTGGCGACATCCCCGTGACGCCCATGGACAATGTCATTGCTCTCGACCAGATGAGCACCGCCTTCAGGGAGCTGGGACAGAGGAAGCCCGTCTCCTCATCTCTGAGCAAGCCCAAGCTGATTACCCTCGGCGGCGATCACAGCCTAGCGCTGCCCGCGCTGAGGGCGTTGAAGGAGACTTACGGTCAGCTCCGCGTGCTGCACTTCGACGCGCACCTGGACACCTGGCACCCGGAAAAGTACCCCTCCTACTGGACGTCGACCCAGTTCAACCACGGCTCCATGTTCTGGATGGCCGGCAACGAGGGCCTCCTGTCCAACACCACGTCCGCCCCCTCCGTCCACGCGGGCCTGCGCACCCGTCTGTCCGGCACGGACTTTTCCGACCACGAGGACGACACGGCGCAGAACTGGGTGCGCATCGCCGCCGACGACATTGACGAGATCGGCACGGCCGGCATTGTCAAGACCATCATGGAGACGCTGGGAACGGAGGACCCCGTGTACCTGTCGATCGACATCGACGTGCTGGATCCCGCCTTTGCCCCTGGCACCGGTACCCCTGAGCCCGGTGGCTGGACGACCCGCGAGCTGATCCGCATCCTGAGAGGTATCGAGGGTCTGAACCTCGTTGGGGCCGATGTTGTCGAGGTCTCGCCCGCGTACCAGAACGCTGGCGAGGAGACGGCGCTGGCCGCGGCGCAGGTCGTGTATGAAGTGTTGAGCTCCATGGTGAAGAAGGGGCTGGAGGGGATGGGCAAGGAGGGCAAGGCCGCTGCTGCTGTCGAGGCGGAGGTGAAGGATGAGTTGTGAGCGATGTGCTTTGGGGAATGATACCGGCGTCTGGAGGAAGCGATCATGGCGAGAGGATGGGGCGTTCAAAACGAGGACTGGCTACGCCCATGAAGCACACCCTTAGCTTGGGTTGACGAACTGGATGACAAAGGCGCGTTGGGTTGGGTTTTGAGGTAAAGGCGGCGAAAGGCATCTCATGATCGACTCACATAGGGCCATTTACGGCCTATCTCCAGCGAATTTAGCGGCTTATATTGAAGATTAGAAACTGATTAGTTCGTTTTTGTTGGGAAGGTGTCCGTCAATGAAATGCCAGGTGATTACACCGAAATTTCGGCCAGCTCATGTGCGACTAATGTGACAATCACAGCGCGCCGTTCTTCGACACATCACCTTGATCGCGCCTTGATATTGATATCGAACTACGAGTTGGATGTCTGCAGCGGTTTCTTTCTCGAACATGCGAATCCCCAGCTGGGTTCACGTCAACTGCACCTTCTGCCACGCATGCCCGTCCTAATGTTCTACTTATTTGCGCCGTTCATCCTGATACGAGTGCTACTAGCATCGATTCGGCTCCAGTGAAGTGAATTATTATCCTCTTGACGAATAGACAGCGAGAGCCAGGTCACTTGCGCCGTCAGCCGAGTCTATATCCCCACATCCCGGCCGTATCTTGGTTTGGAGAACAACGGTCAACACATGTCTTCGGAGATCAAAAACACCATCAATCACATGGCATCCCAGGACAGCATCAATAAATCTGGCATGTCGGTGAGTTGACCGCCTTTCAATTCCCCCTCCACCTGCCCTGCTTGCTCTCATGACAACAAACATGCGAGTCAAGGGAGTGTGTTCGAAACTCCTATCTTCGGAGCCCAACCCTATCGTTCAAGGGCCCGAGCTCCTCTCCAATCTGGGCCCCCTTATCTCTGAGCAATTGAAATGCTCAATTGACACCCGCTCGAACCACAAGCATCGTCCTCAGCGCGCCGGCAGGCCAGATTCACTGTTGATTTGTGTGGCCTGGCGTTGCCCGAGGGCCGGTAGCAATCACGGACCATATATTCATCGTCAGGTAGAGGTATCGAGGGGTCTGACCAGTGTATCAAACCCCTGGGAACGATGAGTGACTCACCTTTCCCTCGCCTGGTCTCTGGAATCGTAATTAGATAAACAAGGCCCTCGACGGAAGATGCTCGCCCGAGAGAAGCTCCTGTATTAATTCGCATCTTCTGGTGACATTTGTGTACTTTGTTCCCGGTTCGAAGGGTCAGGTTTTAGTGACTCACACAGCGCAGCTGCGGGAAGGTACATCAGGCCCACCCCTCCTCTGTCACCTTAGATTCCCCCTCCTTCTCGCGTTCCCACCAACTCAATCCGATTTTACTACCCCGCCATCCTCGCTCGACCGCAGCCCAAAAATTTCCCGCCTCACGTCCGGGACAAGAAACGAGTCAACTAACAACGTGTCCACTGCGGCCATCGTCCCGTACGCACCCTCTTCCGAAATTGACTGAAAAATTAGTGGAAGAGAAGCAAGGCACTTCCAGAAACACCGCAAACATGGCCGCCGTCCAAGAATTGGCCGAGCGCCTCAAGTCTGACGACAAGGTCTACATCGACACCGACGCCGGCGCCGACGAGCCCACGACCACGGGCACCGAATCCTCCCCCTTCAAGTCCCTCGCCGCCGCATACATCGCCAACATCGACACGCCCGGCCGCACGTTCTTGTCCCGCGCGTCCAAGACGGGCGATGACGAGGCCGCCCGCCTCGAGTGGAAGGAGCCTGCCAAGAGCGCCGTCAAGAAGGCCCAGTCCGCCCTTGACGCTCATAAGAAGAAGCTGGCCAAGGCCGCGCAGAACAAAGCCCAGGAGGAGGAGCGCGAGAAGCAGCGCCTGCAGACCCTCGAGGCCGCCAAGCAGATTGTCATCAAGGAGGATGAGTCACTCCCGCCCGCGAAGCGCATCACCATTGGCGAGAAGAACGTCGAGCTCGGCGACGGCGATAAGAAGGGCGCTCGCGTCAAGATTGCCGGCCGCATCCACAGACTGCGCGAGCAGAAGCAGGCCACTTTCATCACCTTGATTGACGGATACGGTCACCTGCAGTGCGTTCTGCAGGCCGGCGATCTGACCAAGACCTACGATGCCCTCACCTTCGCGCAGGGCACTTCCCTCTGGGTTTACGGAGAGCTGAAGAAGGTGCCCGAGGGCCAGACGGCCCCCGACAACCGCGAGCTGCACGTCGACTACTACAAGGTCATCGGCAGCGCCCCCAGGGATGACGATGCCATCACCAACAAGGTCTCCCTGACTCAGAACCAATGGGACTCCCAGATGCTGGACAACCGCCACCTGGTCCTTCGCGGCGACAACGCGTCTGCTATCATGAAGATCCGCGCGGCTGTCGAGTGGGCCTTCACCAAGACCTACAAGGACCTTAAGATCACTAAGGTCTCCCCGCCTGCCCTCGTGCAGACCCAGGTCGAGGGCGGTGCCACGCTCTTCTCCGTCCCTTACTACGACGAGACCGCCTACCTCACCCAATCCTCCCAGCTCTATCTCGAGACTGTCCTCCCCAGTCTCGGCAGCGTCTACTGTATCGAGAAGTCGTTCCGTGCCGAGCGCAGCTTGACCCGTAGACATTTGGCCGAGTACTCTCACGTCGAGGCCGAGTTGGACTTCATCGAGTTCCCCGACCTGCTGGAGCATCTTGAGGAGGTCATGTGCCGTGTCATTGACAACGTTCTGGCCGACGAGGAGATTGCCGCCTTGATCAAGGAGCTCAACCCCGACTTCAAGAGGCCCGTCCGTCCCTTCATGCGCATGAAGTACACCGACGCCATTGACTGGCTCAACGCCCAAGATCCTCCCATCCTCAACGAGGAGGGCGAGCCCCACAAGTTTGGCGATGACATCGCCGAGGCTGCTGAGCGCAAGATGACCGACGCCATCAACAAGCCCATCTTCCTCACCCACTTCCCTACCGAGATCAAGGCCTTCTACATGAAGAAGGACCCCCAGGACCCCCGCGTGACCGAGAGCGTCGACTGCTTGATGCCTGGTGTTGGTGAGATTGTGGGCGGGTCGATGAGAATGGAGGGCTACGAGGAGCTGCTCGCCGCTTACGACAGAGAGGGCATCCCGTCCAAGGACTACTACTGGTACACTGATCAGAGAAAGTGAGTTTCTCCCCAACAATGATGAGTCCATACATCAGCGCTAACACCGACCTTTCTAGGTATGGCACCTCCCCCCACGGCGGCTACGGACTCGGTCTTGAGCGTTTCCTGGCCTGGCTCGCCAACCAGCACACCGTCCGCACGACATGCTTGTACCCCCGTTACATGGGCCGTTGCAAGCCGTAAACAGGTGGGCTGTTTTCGTGAGACGGACGGTGATGTGTAGTAGAAAGTCTAGCGTGCTTGAAAAGAAAAGAGGAAAAACGCTGCGGCGAGGCATCAGCGAGATCATTCAGGGTTTTTCAGGGGACTTTGCAATGGTTTGCCGGCATAAAGCTGGGCAAGGGTATCGGAGACGGGTCGGTCTAGATAGGAGTTACGGAATCAAACCATCTCTGCCGGAGCATGATTTCCCGGAGGACAAAAGCGGTTGTGAGCCCCGCGAAAGGTGACTTGTAATAAGAGACAACAAAAGCCAAAGCACCGCATCAAAAGTGACAGACTCCCCGGTTGCCGTCAGAAACACTGCCGAGTGCCGACATGGTTGTTTTCCAACTCGGGTGACGTCGACTTTGAGGATTGAGATTCGGTTCGAAAACTCGCCGATTGGGCCCTGGCATACTGTCACCTTGTCTTGCCTGCCGGGGGGAAGCTCGTCATTTTCGACAGGCGAAAGACGCGAAAACAACAAAAAGCCAAAAAAGCCCAATAGTGAGACATGGTGCGCGAGCCGAGCCTAGCACGACATGTTTACTTGCCCAAGCTTCAAATCTTGTCAACTCAAGTCAGACTTTAAGCTCTCGCCTTCTGCATACTGTTGGAACGGCAGGATAAAAAGCAGACGGGCACACGCAGGCAAACCAACCACCACTACGTGGGACCGGGGATGTCGTCTGTTCGCGGGCGATGCTTCCTGGTCAAAGACCAGGATCCGGCTCTGAACATTGGGCAGACAGGGGGAAATACGGATACTGGGTATGCTGGAGTCGCCAATTGAGGGACGAGGGGTTGTAGGCCCGGAGCCTGTTAGAGGAGCTGCAGCGTCTCCTTCGCCCTGGCCCGGCCGATCTTGTGTTTGAGGCGTCTACATCAGACCTCTTCTAGAAGGACTTGGTGCCATGCTCTTCAGAAAGGGGTGAGGAGACTTTGGTGGATGCCCGCCGAGTCGAGGAGCCGGCCGGCCTTCAGCCCCGGTCTGTGCGGTCGAGCCGTGGTTGCGAGGCGGCTGTCGCGCGTGGAGAGTATGTGGCAGTACCACCCGAGACCTTGGAGGGCAAAACGTTTTCGTTCGTCTTGTGCTTGTCTGTGGTTTTGCGGGATGCCTTTCTTTCAACTTCTCTAGAGCCTAGTCCCTCCAGTTCGGACTATTGATCAGGAACACGAGTTGTACCTTCGATTACCGGCATTCCATCGCGGCCGCCCTCGAATGCGGCAGATCGCGTGCGCACTGATGTCCCGGCGATCGGCCAGCAGGCGGGGACAGCGACCATTGGATGCTGCCAAGGGGTTCAAGGGGAGGAACCGAGCGGGCGCTGGCGCGTACAGCTAGACGATTCACGGGGCGGCAGATTGAAATGAACGGTGCAGTCAGTAAAGCAGGTGGTGGGGATGCGCGCCCGGCATGTCCATCACAGAACCCGGAGCCGTCGGATAGGGCGTTCGGAAGGGTGGCAAGGTTTGTCCAGCGAACAAGACACAACGTCGTAGCAGCCAACAGGCTATCCATGAAGCTTAAAACCCAATTATGGAGGGCTACGGTGGGAGAATGCTCGCCGGCAGCTGGCTTCCTCGGATGTACTTAGTATGGCATGGCAGGGCGCCAAGGTATTTTGGCTGGTGATTGTGGCCGGTATTGAAAATCGACGAAGCAACCAGCCTAGCCTCTCTTGTGTTTGACTCAAGGACGTTGTTGCTTAACGGTGTGGCGTGGGTCGACTCTGCAAACGGAGGTGGCCCGAGATAAACGCACTTCTGGCAGCGGAGGAAAGCCATGGTTGTGGTCAGTTGATGATCTGATGAGAGAGACAATTGGACGAGTAATGACTTGATGCGAGGCGGATCTAATGCGGATACTGCCTGCAGCTGACGGTTCCAGCTCCATTCAAGGGGCGTGGACGTTGCCGCTGCCGCTGTGCGTCTGCGTCGGGTCGAGCACATGCATTGGCGCTTTTGGTACCATCGCGGCTATGTAAGGCACCACGGGCAAGGGGAATTTTGTCCGCTTTGAACAGCGGCTGAATTGTACGCAGTACATCGCTTGACAGGTCTCGAGTGTCGTTGGTCTTCTCATGCATCCGTTTTACATGTTACTTTGAGTCGAGCAAACCATGAGTAGGCCACCACATTGAGCGGCCTGGGTAGCTATATGGCCGATGGCTCTGTGGCAAGCCAAACGTAAGACACGGCGTCGCGATGAGTTCGGGAAGTGATCTGAGGGGTCAAAGATATCTGGTTCAGATGGTGCAGCATTCGGCTTTTGCTTGGCGGCGCTTGGTGCCACAGGAATTCCGAGTCTGGGTCCAGAAGCCAAGCTTGGTTTTGGCCAGTTGTTTCTCTCGCCATTTCTGTCAACAAGTCTCTGCATATTTGAAGGGTACGATTGATGGTGTCGGGACACTGGCGAAAGCTAAGCCACGGCTGACGGGGCCAGCCGCGTTAGAGGTTTTCAAGATATTGACCTGAAGTTGAATTCTCGTGTCCCAAAGCCCCCCCGTAGCAGTCTGGGGGTTTTGATGAACCCAGGCTCCTTGCAGCGGTGTTTCATCCGAATAGCTGGACAGAAGTGGAGGCAGGCCGAGGTCGCGTAGGGGTAGAAAGTCGATATCATGTTAGCAACACCGGTCGATTGTAAGTCCAAGATGGAGGAGTCTCGAATCCATTGCGTAGCCAGCCGCAGACACTGTGCTGCATACTCATGGTCGGTCTTGTCTCCGAAGGGTGTCGTGTAGTGGGGGATAAGCAGCGTTGGGTGTGAGCTGCATTGCAATTTTGGAGCAACGGCACGTCCGTCGATATTCTCGCGCTCTGGCGTTCTAGAGCGTGGGTTCAGAAGATGTTGTGGGATGAGCGGCGAACCGAGAGAGGGATGAGCGGGCCAGATTCCACGAGTGTGGTGTGCAAGATTGAGGTGCAGCCAGTGCAATTTCAATTCTTCATCAGAGGCGCTGAGAGACAGGCGGGAGTTCGGATATCTGGGAGGCTCGCACAACTAACTGCAGGTCATCCGTACAAAGTGTGGGCGTAGGCAGAGTATCGGAGTGGAGACCGAGCTTGGAAGACGTTCTGGCAAAGGCGGCTGTCAATGTTCCATCGAGCTGGGTGGGGAGAATGATGAACCCTTGGAGGATTGATCGGGGAAAGTGTTAGGAACGGGACAGACCAGACCAGAAAAGGCCGTGCCTTCCCCTGTCGGCCAGGTGGGAGCAAGGGGAAGGCTGGCTGGAAGCGGCCAGGGATGTGATCAGGGGTTTTTCGGAGGGGACGCACCTTACTTACGGATACCCTAGGGAAGGAAAGGAAGGGGAGGGGCTTTCGGTGCAGAGCAGGTATTGAGCAGGAATGCCCGTACCTGACAAGGCAATATCGGCAAGCTGGCTGTGCACGAAGACAGGGTCATGCAGCGCCAGCAGAGCACAACTACTATGTACTATTCACCCCGTCACCCAGTAGGGCAGCTACCTAGTAGTAGGTCATGCTTATTTGCTTGACTCTGTCTGTCAGCGCAAAAAGACCGACTCATTCACCTCTGGCCACGTCGTTTTGCACTTGCACTGCACTTCAGTGTTGTCTCGGAGATGGAGAATCGCGTTCGTAGATGGCTAGCGTCGACCAGATCCCCTGGATGTCTGCCCAGCTGCCGCCACTCAGCAAAGTCCACGATGGTCGACGGGGGCTAAAAGTCGAGGTGGCACTTGACCAGCCGACAAATCAGGAGGAACGAGGCTCAAGCTCCGAGTCTTCGCAATTGGAGATGGAGGTCCAAGGCCAGCCAGGGCCCAGGGGAGAGGGGCTTAAAGGGGGCCAAAAAAGGGGACCAGGCCAGGGGCCGCGAAGGCTGTAGATGTGGATATTCGACACTAACAAGTCATGGACGGAGGGCAGAAAATGGCTTAAGCCGACCGAGCCTGGAGGTAGGTAAGGTACCTAGGTAGAGGGAGCAATTGTAAGAGTGCAGATGCGAGCCTGGTGAATCCGTACGGCGGTAGGCAAGTAGGACCTCTAGGCGCTGGCTGAATGGTTGGTTGGCTGGCGGGTTGTGGAGATGGCGGCTCACCCGCATCCGCACCCAGGGCGAGGAGGCTATCCGATTATCGTACCTTACCTAGAGGTGCAGGTGCAATGTGCATGTCTGGGACAGAGCAACAAGCAGTTTCCCGTAATTGCAAGCCTTGCCAAGTAGTATCAACTCGACGAGGCAGGCTAGTCAGAGCAGCAAATGCATCTCATCTCACCTAGAGTTGTGGAATTTCCACTGCTTACGAGCAAGAGGCTCAGGAGACGGAAACTTGCGAGTAGAACTTGTCGTCTAGAGTAGGTGGCCGACTAAGTAGTGCTTTGCGTACCGAACTTAGTCAGGGGACTCGACAGAGAAGTACCTTACGAATGCAATACGTATGGGCCGGCCCATTGCGCGAACCCCGTCGAACTAAAGACAAACCAGTGGTGGTCCGTAGATGGCGGCGTGATGACGCTAAAGAACCATGGCGGTAGATGTTCAAGTCTCGTGGCTGTGGCTAATGAGAAATGACGGCTGGCTGGCCCTACCCGCCGCGAACTTTTTTGGGTTTGCATTTGAGCTTGGGGGGAATGAATAGTGTGTGAGAGTCGATGATGGGCGCGGGTCCTGTTGGTTCCCCAAGGCGTGTGCTTTTACTATGCAGTACGCACCTAAGGTACATGCGGAAAGGGTGCCTCAACGGAGCATTGCGAATAATATCCAAGTCGAGAGAAAATGTAAGCCGTATCCGTATTGCAAGTCGCCGTTGATGCACGTCCCATCACGTAGGTGCTTCAGCATGCTGATGACAATAGGGTGGTTCCCGTCACATCACAATGAGCATCATCATCATCGACGATGCTCTCTGACTGTCTGACACTTTTATCCAATGTTCGTCACCGTTGGTAAAGTCAGTGCCATAGACCCCGGTCAGGGAATTGTGCCACGGATGTACCTTGCGTTGGCTCCT